GGGGGGGGGCGCACGCGCGCACACACACACAACATTTTCATATTTTTCCCAATATCTTCATTCTAAATAAGATCTAAATGTGTTCTTCAGAAGGAGATTTAGTACATAGTATATACCTCTGAACCAAGTCAGGAATAGAACTGCTGGGAGTATATTTTCCTTCATGGCCACCCAAGGTACTTGGCGTCATTCGAGTGTTGCCAAACTTCTGTACAATACTGGTCTGCTGTACTACTGGCTGCAAACACAATTCACACTTTCATCTACGGTTCATTTCATAACACAAAATACTCCTGATTTTTAACATATGGATTATTCACTTTGCAGCTTACATGTGCACTTATTTTTGTACTGTCTATGGGATTTGCAAAATGAAAATTGTGTACTGGGCATTTTTGAACCAAGATTTCATCTCCAGTTCTTCTCATTACATGCCTGTATCAACATTAAAATCTTACTATGTTATTGGGAATGCAGTAACTTAGAAAACCATCTTCCTGACTACTCTTCTTGACACCATGCTGTACTATGACTGCATTTATAAGCCCACCAACACTCTGTAACTGATCTTATGAATTTTACTTAGTAAGTGAATGAAATTAACACTAAAACAAAATGTTTACAAAAATCAAGCCAATAATTTTTTTTCAATCACGATGCTTACAATAACAAATACAGTATATGAGTACTGCACAAAGGTTCAATCTGTAAGTCTTGTAGATAATCTACCTTGTGATAACCAGGAACTTAATTTCAGAAACTTTTTATCAGTCCTATGTGTCACATAAAGAAAACTGAAACGAGGCTGAATTCATAATAAATTCTGACAGCAAATCTCCAAGACAGAGCATGGAAAATGCTTAGAATCTTGATTCTTCCATGCTTCGGTGGTTCTATCAGAAACAAACTACCAAAACTATTTTCCTGTATCTATCCCATCTGTCCAATTATTTGCTGTTTTTCTGAAAGCTTCAAGATTAAGCCTCTCCTGCATGACTAACAAAATTTAAACAAGAAAGTGAATACTGAAGTCAAGAGAGTAGTCTTGCTTTATACTTGTCTTGGATTCAGATTTTGGCCATGAGACCACCTATCATGACTGAGTTTTTGTAGCCACCTCTTGTCCCTCCAGGCAAATTCTGGGACATTACCTAAAATTATGACATGACCACTTACGTCCACATCCTTCCCAATTTATTACTCACTAATAATCATATTATTATTAAACACTACATAATCTGAACTACTGGAAGTGTTTCTCAGTAAGCCAAGATTAAATGGAATAAAACAAGAGGAGGAGCAACTAAATAACACTGTTTAGTCATTAATGTACAAGTATTTCTATAAGGGACCGCCTCTGTGGTCTAGTGGTCAGAGTTCCTGGCTAGAGATCCAGAGGTTCCAAGTTCAATTCCTGGCACTACCAGATTTTCTAAGTAGTGAGTCTGGAATGGGGTCCACTCAGCCTCATGAGGATAATTCAGGACCTATTTCAAGGAAATAGCGGCTCTGGTCTAGAGACCCGAGATTAATGGCCATGGGGATCTGTTGCGTTGACACATGTGATACCCTCTATCCACAAAAGTTGGCACCAACTTCACCAACAAGAGGCGGTCACTCAGTCAGTATAATTTACTTGCAGACTCCAGGCCACAGAGTCCGTTTCCTTCTGTTTTGTTTTTTTGTTTGTATTTCCATTTAGGATTTATAACATTCATCCTTGAAGAAATTGTAACCTAACCATATTTACAAAGGCAACGAAACCACACTGTGTTAGAAAAGGCCTACTAACCTGCATCCCTGCCATATGTGGAAATGCTATTGGAAATCACAGACTAAAATTTGTGATGGCTATCAAAGAAATCATTATTAACTATGGGAACTGAGATAACAGCCTGTTCATCAGTAAAACCAGCAGTGTGTGTTTACAGATAAAACATATTTAATAATGTACTAAGAAGATGCAGTGATACTGACTGACAATCCTCCATATCATTCAGTATGATGGGAACTTTTTTAAAAAATTTTCGGTCAGTATCATACGCATTAAATGGAGGAATTGTTTTGGAAGAGACTGTGGACCTGTCGTCTTGACAGATTACTGATGATGATGATCATAACCTTGAGCAGTTTATGAATCAATATTAATAGCTTCAACAGTATAAGCCTAACATCCATCACATCCTCTCAAAACTCTTCTTTATGAGGACAACAATGTGACAGCATTCTGAAATGAAATCATGCTAGTAGATGCAAAATATGATGCTTCTCTTGTCATGGGTGTATCTTCTTCCAGATATGGAAGATGATTTAAAGACTTTCATACTAACAAACTGAGCAATATTTTAATAAATGAGTATAATTAACACAACAATAGAGAGGATTCTACTGAATGACTGCAAAGAGACACATGTGACTGAAATGTTCAGTACAAGTGACAGATTCTTAGAGTAGTGAAGAAAGGTAATAAGGCAGAATGCAGGGCCACAGTCAGCACATGAACTTTAAAGAAAATAAGAAAAGGATATGGCGGATTTAGTATGCCAAGTGGACTGAAATGAAATCGTTCAGATCATAACTCTATGGCACAATTCCACTCAAATTCTTTCAACCTCCTGGTTTTGGCCCTGGAGTGTCAGTCATTTTGTAAGTTACTTCTATATTTCACTTTCAAGTACCATATTTACTTACATAATTTAACACTCCTACTCTTAGATAAAAAATGCGGGGGGAGGAATTAAATAAAATATTTTTCACACATAAAAAACCTCATTCCACTTACATGCATTATGACAACATAATATGCAAACCTTCAATCAAATCGTTCCATAAAAATTGTTGGTAAAAATATTATTAAGAGTCATTTTCATCCCAATGTCAATTAAAAAATCTGCATGGTGGTGCATGTAGGAATGAATATCCATGCTGTGCTAGCACATCATGTTCAATTTCAATTGCATTTTCTACGAAAATTATGCGTCAATCAAGATTTTAAAAAGGAAAATTTTCAACTCAGTTTTCATCAAGGAATCGCGTGGTGGAGTACAGAAGCACAAATGTTTATACCATGTTCTGACATCTCATTTAACTGTAATCACTTCAATCTAAAATGATATTCACAAATTTTAGGCACAACTTTCTGTTATAGTTCTTCAGTAACAAAAGCTTATCTGTATTTAAACAAATACTTCACCTACCATATTAGGAGATAGGGCTTGAGTTCCTCGGCGATGACCTTTCCTAATGGGCTCTGTTGACCATACATTGATAACTGAAATAAGGAAAATGATGGCCACTTACCAAGACAGAACAAAGGTTGCTCTGCCAATGCAGACTTGAAAATTCTTCTCTTTTTTTCCTTTCAGAATATCAACTTTGTGATGTGATTATCATACCATAGTAGGTTCATATGGTAAGGAATAAAAAAATATGATGAAGGTATTACATAACATTTCTTTCTTTAAAAACATATTTCCTGCCAATGTGAACCATCACTGCAATGATGTAAATATAGCCAGTTCTCTTTGATAGACTTGAAAGGATTCTGACGATGGTGTATACTGTACTTCTTTTGGCTTATTTTGGACTTCATCCATTGTCTAGACAAAAGACCATGATGTTTTGGAGACTGGATCTGTCTCTGTCTTCAGGTGGGTAGGGAAGGATAAACCTACTGGACCAGTGATTGAGACTAGCTCTTTCTAACGGGCCCAACCAAGTAGGTTTATCCTTCCCTACCCACCTGAAGACGGAGACAGATCCAGTCTCCGAAATGTCGTGGTCTTTTGTCTTTTACATACTAGACGATGGATGAAGTCCAAAATAAGCCAAAAGAATTGAGGCTTTCACTGCGGTGACTATGAAGAAAGCAGTCTTCTGGGATTTGGCACCGTGTATATGTGGTTTTAACCGACGTTTCGGAGGAACGTATCGCCTCCATTTTCAGGGTAGAAGAAAAAATATATAAGAAATCTGCAAGCAAAAAGACCGTGAGAACCGGTAAAAGCAGACAGTCTGCTGTCTGCTGTCACTGCTTGAATATGCTGTGACCAGCATATTCAAGCCCAATGCTGATCTGAGCAACGTCACTGGGGACATTGGAAAATTGTGCAAAGGTTTTAGTAAAGAAGATCAGGTAGTTATAGTTGGGGGGCCAGGTAACAGTTTGGAGAGAAACCTCAGTTATCAAATTGAGAAAGATTTAAGTGATATTGCCCAGAAAACTAGTCACACCAATGTGAGGTTTG